AAGCTTAAAAGTCTGAAATCGTGACCAGTTTGACATTACACAACAACAGTTCAGCTGCTGTCATGCTACAATAGAGAGGACCTAGAGGCATCCAACTCTGTGTGACTCAGTGCCCAGACAGCACGACTATCTGGTGTCTCATTGTCAGTGCAACTCAAACCTCCTTACAAAAACACACAAAATGTCAGCAAATATGGATGACTATGTGCTTCGCTCAGTCTGTTTAAAGCCGCTCTCAAGCGAAGATCAACATTTTAATGGAGATTTCATTTAAAAGAAACCTGCAAAAATTCTATCAAAAATTAATGAATCCAAAGAATATTCTATAATAAGATGGTTCTCACCAGATAAGCAGTGGCATTTGTTCAAAGTGTTTTTTTTTACATTTCCCTGACAAGAACCCTCTCACAGCTGTGTAAATAAAGGTTCTCTGGAAAACCAATGAAAGAGCATGATAAACTGTATGTTTACAATCCGTAGCAAAGCCAGAAGTAGTGTGACATTGTTGACCATCAAAACAGTCTAAGGCAGGAGGCCAACCTGCTAGCTGAGCATGTAGAGCCTCTGTTCACTAGCTGTTGAATGTTATTTTTAATGAAAGCTGTTCTTCCCTAACCTTGTAGCTTAGCTGTAGATTAGAAACCACTCACATGAGTAGCTTTTGTAATGGTCATGTAGCCTGGCAACCCGTCTCCTAGAAATTACATTCAAACACTAGTAATTTGTTTTGCCAATCATGATTTTCTGAGAAATAACTGCTGCCTTGATTATGCTCAGGTGGCAACTGTAGCCACAGGACTGTGACACCAGATCACTTAATCTTTTCTATATTTAAAGAAGATAATTGTCTTTAACCAAATGCTGTGGATGCCTCAGTCTAAGAATTAAAAAGTTTTATCATGCTTTATTTGTTATGGACTACTGCATTGCAATAGCAGATATTGCACATCAACAAACAGTTTAAATACTTTGTCAGTGAACATTTTACAGTAACAACATTTTGTGACTTGGAGATGCAATAATTAAACATTTGTCATTATGTTACTAGAAAACCATATGGGCAACATTTCCAATAAAATGCATCTGTACATTAGTAAATACATTTTTACATATTTGGGACATACAGTATGTATTAGTGTGCATATATAATTATTGAGGTCAGTTAAATGTGGTGGTGTACTAGACTACATTATATTCAGAGGTGTTCCTAATATTCTGACCCTCTTCATGTATGTAGCTGGTAAGGACAAAAATATAGACACACATCTGAATATAATTTAGCCCAATACAACACCACCTTAACTATGACCTCAATAATAAACATATACATTTATGACAATTTGACCAAAAACAAACAGTTTGAGCTTCATAAACACAGATGCTAAGGTGGAAGTGTTGCACTGAAGTGCATGCAGTTGTACCTAACAAAGTGGCTGGTGAGTGTAAATGCACCATAATACATGGCTGGTATTTGTCAAGCTGAATTTGAAGCCACCACTCTCTGGGTTTTCTCAAACCAGCAAGGACTTTAAAAGGACTAAAACCAAAAGGACACGGTGTTCACCGGTATGACTGTCTGAGCTGCTGCCCACCTCGATCTATCACACGGCTGCCTATGGCTCCCAGGTGGCTCGGTGCACTCGGCAGCCCTCGCACCACCTTTCCTCCCCCCCACCTCCCACTGCCATCACCGCCCCGCCGTGAGTGACAGGCATCCAGTTCCGCCTGACTGGAGTCTCTAGCTCCAAACCCTCAAGGACAACTAAGAGGACATATTGTTATCAGCTCATCTCCCTCATTCCCATGGCCGTTCCTTCCATAGATGCACATATGGGCACGTTCTCTCTCTGTCTGCCCACACACACACACATACACAGAACCAACTGTGAGCCACTCACCTGTAACAACCTCTATGTGACCTTTGCTTAATGTCCTCGGGTGCCACACCAGAAACCATTCACACAAACAACCCGCAGATCTGGCTGCGCCTGTCGCTTCTCATTCACCAGTTTCACTGCGAGTGTGTTTGAAACCATCTACGTGGAGGCTGTTAAGAATCACTTCAGTCAGAAACCTTGAACAGAGGAAATAAACAAGGCGTCGTCTGTGAAGACTTTCTGCACAGATCGCCTCACACTCCTGCGCTTGAATGTTTTTCTAGCTGTGGAAATCTGAATTCTTTATCTCATAGCATACAACAGTCTGAGGCATCTTGTGATGTGAGAAAAGACAAGCTGTTCTGGAGGGCTATAAGACACAGTGGATGGCAGCTTTTCAAATAAATAACAAGGTTTGCTTCACAGTAATGTTTCTTTTGCAATCAATATGCATTCCCAGTGCTACATTGTTTGCTACGTAACCTTTAAGTGTTCAAATCAGCTGTTCAGTTTGGAGAAATAACAGTAACATCCAAAGACACTATTGTTACTGCTTTGCTCATAAATTAACTGCTCTTATTCCTGGAACTTGTTTTTGCACTTCAGCATGCTCTTAGAAGTTGTAACGCTGCTGAGCCAAGGAATTCAGTGCTGAACTTCAGATTAGAGGCTGTTGTTTATACTGCAGCTGCAGTAGGAAACTTCACATGTTGACAGGAATATCTTGCATTTTGGAACTGCCAAATCCCAGAAATCATGAAAATGTGATTTCAGAGATGTGCACCCTTCAAAGACTGGAGATTAACAGACAGTTTCTGCTGAAATAAGAGATATTATACTCAGTAAGGACAGCCACTTGGTAAGTGGCTTTAAGTTAGTGTTTTTCAAACTACATAAATTACATAAAGCCTATCCCACTTACTTGCCTTTTTTAAATTAGTGTCACATGACTCATTGTTTTTAAAGGATTTGAGTCAAGTGAGTTTTTGTGAAGTTCTGTTCAAATAATGTGTGATAAAAGCTCTCTGAAATCTGTCACTGCATGGTCACAAACATAAAATACATCAGAATAAGCACATAAATAATCTTTACACTAGCACAAAATTGTGTTTTACTGTAAAAGTTTCCCCTTATTGCAGCATAAATCACACCTAAGTTTCACCAATGAACTGAAGCATCTGAGGCCGTACAGAGGCTATTCATTTCTATTTTCAGAATGCCAATTACTGGGCACAGCAGCAGCTTAGGATATTGAACCAGCTGAAGTCAAACTGTTGTTAATACATTATTATCTATTTCAACCTGGTAGGGTGGGGAGATTCTCACTGCTTGATTTTCATCAAAAGCGATAGCATGCTGAAAATGTAATTCACTGTTTTAGTATAAATCAATACGTCTCCAGAATCTATTCCCCCATTGCACTTCTATGTTAATATTAAAGAAATGCTCAAGTAGGACTTTAATTCACCACACAGGCTTGCGGACGGTTTAATAGTCCCAATTTTATCCATAACTGCTCGATTGACACTTAAAATTTCAGGCCCATCTTAATTTGGCTTCTCCTGACGACTAAGCTCTACTTCTCCTCGGAGCCACAGCTGCTGTGACCCATGTTAATGGAGATTTATAGGCTAGTGCCAGTCTAACAGTGATATTCTGTTAAGAATTATGTCCCATTTGATCACTATTACTCTGTTCTCTCATAGAAAAAGAAAAGGCATTGGTACTGTGTATGTGCTGCAGTGTATTTCATCGTCATACAAGAAAGCAGACCATACATGTTAGATACTGAACATGTGAAAGAGTGCAAAAGAGAGAACTATGTGCTAGAATGTTAGAGGACATTCAGATGTTTCTGATGAGATATAAATCCTGATGGACTCCCATCCGAGTGTATTCATTAATCATGCGTCTCATTGGCGAGGCTCTGATTTGCCACTGAGACAGATGAACTCTGCAATACATTTCTCATCATAACACAACCTTCACATAAATATTAATAGCATATTTTCAGCTGGTGGGTATGAATCATTTTTCAGACAGGGAATTTTAAGAGCTATCCATGCGTGTGCAAGAACAGTACATAAGCAAGCAGTTGTGATAAACAGCAGTGCTTTAAGGCAACAATGAAGGGAAGGCTTCAACCCTACCAGGATTAAAAAGGTCTTTTTAATACACTTCTTCAAACTTCTAACAATATAGTTTCTTACTTTATTTTACAGCTTGTCAACACTAAGATTTTACAGTAATTACACAATTATCAGTGATGCCCATTTATGAAGGTGACACTTTAAGCATCAGATTGTGTATTTGTGATGTACTGCAAACTGTTTCAGATTGTGGCTGTAGCTACTGTAACCGGCTAATAGAGAGTGGAAGGTCTGATACATGAAAGCCGCTGTAATCAGTGGTTGACATCAACAATGGATGAAATGATTAAAGAATAATTGCTCTTCCTCTCAGCTTTACACAGCAATTTTAGTGTCTTTAAGCTCCACTGTTTTTGGCTTTACTATTACAATCACTCACATCCTGTGTTGCCAACACAATAGCCATATTATGTCCAGGTACTGTAAATTTCAGTCCAGCTGTGGGGTTGCCAGGGCAAACTTCACCCATTTAAGGTTTAATTTTGAGTTAAGGGGTGTTATTTGTGAGCTGACGTAACCTACAGCACAGCTGCATCATTCTCATGTACACTTGTTGGTGTTTTTGTGGCATTATTCTGTCACCATTTTTGATGGATGTAGCTATTTTTCTGGCTTTGTCACAGAAAGATGTCTTGATTCTTAAGCCTGAATACAAAGCATTGTTTTTCCAACTAGGGAAACAGCTGTCAGTGAGAACACCATCAGACCTGTTTGAATAGATGAAACAGCCTGAAATATGGGCAGCTATTCAGACCATTAATCTTATGTTCAGCACATAGCTCTTAGATGTTGAAGCACTCTCATTTTGCGAGAGAAACCTTAGAAACTGGCCTAATTGTTAAGGTTTTACAAACCTTTTACATTCCTTTGGCACAAAATGACAATATAGCCAGTGATAGATACACAGTATAGTGCCATTGTGGCATTAATCACAATGGAGTGTGTGTGTGTGTGTGTGTTTGTGTCATTGCAGGTTTATGACCATCAGTATAAAGCTGTGCTGGATGGTGTAGAGATTGACAGTGTGATGGAGATTGACCCAGGTCAGCGCATTGAAATCTTCAAAATGGGAAACGGGAGCGAGGAGGTGCTTGAGGTGCACGACTTCAAAAATGTAAGTAAAGGTTAACAAGGCCATGTAAGCTATCCACCTTTTGCTCAGAAATTGATGCTGCAATAGTGTCTTTTCTTCAGCAGAGAAAGGATTACAATGTTCACAATGTGCCCTTTTCAAAGAGGCGGTTGACAACATTTATCCATTGTTGCAATCGTATTTCTTCCTCTGCAGTATTTTCTCCTCCTTTGTCACTCTTAATGAAAATAGGTCCGACAAACGTTTGAAACATATGAGAAACAAAAGCAATGGAAATTATACACAGTGAGGTGTACACACAGGGGCCAGAAACAGTTTTTAAAACAGCGTGCATATGCATACTAAAGCAGTGAACTGTTCTTCTGGAGATTTGTTGTGTTTAAGTGCACACACAGCAGCCCAGAGAGAAAGACTGGCCTTTTACTAAATACTGCTTTCCTCCCACTAATTCTATACAGTAACTTCTTCACAGCACAGAGACAAACAACCATTAAGAAGCCCATCTCTATTTGTTTCTCACACCTTTTACAACTGCAATCTTGTCTCCAACAGAACTCATGAATTTACCTTTCGCTCCTAAATCCTTCTCGAGTGTGCAGGAGGTTGCACACGCGGCACCTCGGAGAACGGTGTGTGCTGCTTGACTGAGTAATGAATGTTCTTACTCTCGCCCCATTATTTACTGTGAAATGTTGTGTTGCAAGGCTGATTGTTAAAGAAAGCACCTCATCACAAGCAAAAACCTATACTGAGCCGATACCGTTTATGTTACAATGGCCTTTGTGAATCCTAAATGGTTATATGATGAAACTTTATCCTTTGCAAATCAATCAGCTTATTTCTTTCTCATGTCCCCACTAAGTAGAGTATCTATCCATATACCCACACATAAACATCTGTAGCTAGTTCTGCTTCCTGTTAGTGATGCCATCCCCTGGGGAGACTGGTTTGATACTGCGCTCTACCATAGAAGACTAAGAAACAAGACAGGGAGCCAAGTAATTCAAAGCTCAGTTTAAGATTTGAAGGAAAGCCACACAAACCTTACAAGGTTATAGTCGGTGGTAGTTTGTGTACCGACTGATGTTACAATCAAGTTTAATACAAAAAAAAATAAAAATGAATGTTGCATGTTATTAAACAGACCAAAGCTGCTTGTAAAACAACCTCCATCAAGCCTGAGGGTTGTGTGAGAAATAGAAAATGAAGGGATTATGCCACCAAGACTGTGGCCCACAAGAGAAATCCATTCGCCATTGTTTCAGACCAATAGTGGACTCACACAACAGAGAAGCACCAGAATCATTTTTAGATTAAAAACAAGCCTGTAATAAATATTCTTGACAACTGAACAAAAGTACATTAAGAACAATTTGCCTCAACTTTATTCTGAAAATTTAGTTCAATAAAATGAAATGCTGCTCCAGTTTTACAGCACAAATTAGTGTGAGTATGTTAGTCATGAAAAGATTAGGTCTGACAAAATTACATTTAGGACTGAATATGTTAAACTGTAGTATGCTGGGCAATGTTTTGTTCATGTTAAGACTGAAAAACATTGTCTTTTTGCTACAATCACTACGGGGTTCCTAAGCTGAACATTTTCCTTCTCTACAAATAGTGACTTAAAATAAATAATCACCCTATTATGGAGGACAAAGGAATAGACAAAGTCCTTGGTGCAGGTCAATTTCTTTTGTAATTCAAGTGTTTAATATTAGAACAGTAGGTTGGGGAAATCCCTCAGGTCATAATGCAGCACTGCAAACCTACTGTACAGTGAATGTGTTGCAAAGGTCAGTGTGAAAACCATCAAGCGCTGGGGTTTGTGGTCTCCTCAAGCCAGTTTCACCGTGGGTCAACACTGAGCCCATGTGAATGCAGCCAGGGCGTAGATAACTGCGAGGCTGTTACACTGAATGAAGTTTATTTTATATTTATGGATGTTTGTGTAAATGGCCAGACCATTCTAACGTTTTGACCACACTTGGCCTTTCTGAAGTGTAGCTTAAACATCAGTTATGAAGTAAGGTCACTGGAGCTTAGTGTAGCATGCAGTCATCTTATCTTCAGCGTTTCATTGCTGTGATGAGCACCTTGTTTTCAGTCTGCATTCACCAGATCACTCTTGGTTTTTCTAATGTTCTCTGTCACTGTGAGGGGAAACCAGAGGCTAACCACCACACCAGCATTCCAAGTTGAATGAAAAAGTGGGGGGTATTCTTCATACATCGCTAACCAGATCTAAGATCAAATGAGCAATGCTGGATTTTCTAAAACTGGTTATAAATGTCCAAAGAAAGAGCAAAGTCAATCAACCCAGCAGAAAGAGAGCTTCTGCTGGAGGGCTCCAAAGAAATAAAAGATTTCATTTGCAAAGGTAACTCTATAAAAGTGGTAAAAATGTTGAGAGATGGATGGCAAAAAGTGTCTGATCAATTAAATGCATGAGTATCCCATTTAAATGCTTAATGTCACCACAGCTCCACTGCTGTGATATGACAGTATAATTTGTATTATCTCTGCCAAGTCAGTAAACAGTAATCCTTTGCATAGCTCTATGCTCATACATCCAACAGGGTGCCAAGCAGGAGCGCACAATAAATCCACAAAGTACAAGGGATTCCAGTGCACATGAGGGATGTCAAAGATTATCTTCATATATTAATAGTTGTTCATGATTAGATGATGCTCTAGACACCCTCTGTGTGTGCACTAGAATCCCTGCTACTTTGTATAATCTCTACATTATATTCAGAGCGAGTACAAGCATGAGAACCTGGGACAGGTGAAAGTAAAGTGCAAGAATATTCTGCAGACTGGTAATACTACAACACATTAGTCTTAGCCCTACTGCCATAATTTCTATTATAGCTTTCTTCCTACTTTGGTCTCAATATTCAAATAAAGTTTTCAAAACAAGTGCAATATTTGTTCACAACATCCAATTTTTTTGTGTAGCATAAAAGCATGTCTCAATATTTTGCTACAAACAATATTTAACAGATTTCAGCAAATCTACAATTTGAACATTTCTCAGTTGTAGATGTCCTTTTGATCAAAGTAGATCTGTTTCTTTTCTGTTAAAAAGTCTTTTTGCACAACATTTAAGGATTTATTTCACTGTTTACATCATATGCACATTAGTTCTTGTAGTTAAAAGCCCTCAAGTATTAATTCCACATGCAACATTGTGAACCTTGACCCACACATTGCAAATGGAACATTTCATTTTGACAGGGTTAACATATTCAGTGACATAAGGATTTATTTGCCAAAGGTTCCGGGTAATGTATATTCTTTGCTGATGAACTAGTGTTGCTGTATGTATACATAAACTATTCTGAGAAATGTATTTTAAGCGTTGAGAATCCTAGAAATGAGCCAAAGCTACTGAGAAATTCTGTAATAATAAGCTTTGAATCCATTAATTCCTTTTGCCTTCTTCTTGTGCATTTTAAAAACAGACTATGAAAACTGAAAGGAATTGTTTCAGAGCCGCTTTGCTTAGTTTGACAAACGGCGCGCTTTCCTAAATTTTCCCCATTACCAAGAAAGTGGCATTTGTGAGCAATCTCTGTGCAATGCACACTGGCTGTGTGGTGGTAAGAGCACATCTCCTCTTTGTTTGACCCCTAATATGAGGTGCTAACATTCCACTAAAATAAATGATTCCCTTCCACCTGAAACATAGTTCATTAAGAATGGGTCAGAACGGGCCAAAGGGTCCAGTCGATCTCTCAGTACTCTGCTTCCTTTCTTTTCTTATTATATTCACTCAGATGCCAGTGGGTCACTTCCTGTTCTGACCCATATAAATCAGAGAGATTATCTTATTTACACTGAAAAGCCTGAGGACAATCTACTCCCAAGTGGGTTTGAGATTATGGGCACGTCGCCATAACAACAAGTCCTACAAGACTTTCCAAAAACCAACACATCCAGCATCATGTGAAACTGTCAGAGTCATCCAGCTTAATCCAAGTACTACTAAGAACACCAGCAGGTAATACCTGATGCACTTATGGTGAAGGTCACACTGCAGCAGTTTTCAGACATCTTACTTTTAAATGGCATCTCGCATGAAGCTCAAAGTAAGGAACATCCATGAATCACCGCAGATGGAAGGCACAGCAGGTGAACGCAGCCATTCTGCAATAAGTAAAATTCACTTATATGAAATTTTTTTTAAACCAGCTTCAGTTCATAATGCATTTAGTTTGTGTTTTCTTTCATTTCTCCCTTTGCTCTCTTCAGTGTAGCCTGCAAAACTTGCAGTAGATGGCATCGCCCGTGGGCTACTTCTATATGCAAAGGTTATATAAACTGCAAATTTTTAAATGAAAATGCATAACAATACAGTAGACATTAAAAATTGAATTCAAGCATCATTATATTACAAACTTCAATAATAGAAGATAAAACTAACAGTTGTTATGGTGTCACAGCTCAGATAAGACAGGGCACAAATGCATGACTAAAAGAAGCAGATAAAAAGTTAAAAACAGTTCACCTCTGTTACAAGCTCAGCAAACAGAGACAGGGAAAACTGGAGGCAAAGTCAATGCACAAGGCCATCGTCAGCGGTTAGTAATATTCAGGCAAGTAATCCAAGCAAACAGACAAAAAGGAGCAGTCAAAAGGCAAAGTCCAAAAAACAAGCAGGAGGTCAAAGCAGGCAGGCAAAAATTCAGCAAGAACAGAAGATTACAAGCTGAGTGCAGCAAAGGACAAAACTAAGAGCACTGATGAGCAAACTGTGAGCAGGTGTGAGTGGGCGGGATCAATCAGGTGACTGGGATTAGGGGGAAAGTACCAGGGCCCCCAGTGGCTGGATCAAGGATGACATGAGACAGCGCTGAGACAGGAGTTATGACATTGTGGCATGTGCAAAAACCAGCCTAGAAAGTCTGCATTCAGCAGCTCCCCACTTGTGCATACAAGTGCATGACATTTTGGTCCTTTAACAGCTCGATCACATCAGGAAATCAGCAGATCTGGTCTCATGTGGAAATGGCTTAACTCCACTGGAATGGCATGTATGCTAGATATGATGTACACACTGTTTGCCTGTGTGATGATTAAATATACACAATAATAATAAAATAATATAAATGAAATATGAACTATGGGCTAACTGTATTAGCAAGTGTTTATACTGTACAACTAGCCAAATACTGCAAACCAAAAACAGTTAGTGAATCATATAAATGTGCTTCTCTGACAGTCGCTGTAACCTTTCACTGCATATGAAATGCTGCTGTGTGGATTTATTCTTCTTTGTCCCTTTATGTAGGCAGTGCTGTCTCCCTTCCAGATAACCTTTGGTCATCACAGTGTGTTGGTCAAAGCGCTGCACCCTTTTCTCCGAACAAATAAAACACAAGAAACAGTGATCTCCTACTGTTGCTGACTTGAGGGCAGCCTACACTAATATAACATCCTGCTTGAAATTTAGTGAGTTACTAAGGTGCCCAGATATTGTGGTATATGTTGTAGTCTGGAATAAGTTAATAATTTCATGTAAAAAAAAAATGGAAAATACAGCCAGATTGTATTGAAGGTTATATGTTTATTGAGTAAGAAATGTTACTTAAATACAGATAATTATGTTGATCATCGACCAAACTAATGGCTGCCGACCAGACTTTGTTCTTTGTTCACAGGAGGTGAATGATGCATTTCATGTTCTCTCTGCTCTTGATTAGAAACAGATGAGCATCTTGTACATGGATACACCAAGTGGATATTTCAAAATTGTCTGTTAAAATGACATTGCTTTTCCATTTCTCATCCCCATGTTAATGTGTCTTTCTTCATTTTCTGGTTGACCAACCCCAGTGATCATTATATCTCATCAAAACATTGCCCTCTTCTCTTCTCCTGCAGTGCTCCAATACAGCAGACCCAAATTACACAGAGGCTCATCACAATAAAGCCCGGCATAAACATTATGCTTTTGTGCTTGAGACCATTATTGCCCCATCCTTTTTCCACACAGATGAAATTACACACGGCACTGTAGATTATGACAAGCATCACTTTGTATCACGTCTTCTGCAGCTGGTATCTGGTTTTCAGAGTGACAGCACCACAAAAAATATGTAGAAATAGCACCCTTGTGGTCAAGTTAACCAATTCAAAGGAGATGTCATAGCAATCACCATGTTACTGTAATTAAATTTAGATTGAATCAAGTCCATTTTCATGGTACCACTCATACAATGTTCAGCTGATACAATTTTAAAGCAGCTATGGCAGGTGTAGATCCTGCCGTCTGTTCTAATACAGTAATATGAATGAGCAGCTCCACAGAAATTAAATTGGATACAATCTGATCTACTGACAGTCTTTCAGACTTATTCCAGTCGAATATCTTAGATTAACATAGAATGGCAGCAAGAGAGAATTAATAGATATTTCTTGCCTATTGAGGCTCTGTGTGTCAGACTGAATAGAGCTACTGTCCAAGTGGTGGAGGATCATCAGTGGAGCTAAAGAGTGACTCCACACTTGACTGTGCAGATTAAGAGGCTGACAGAGACCTATGACTAGCTAATTCAGTGGGACCACTCTCTGTAGAAAACACTTCATTCTCAACAATGTCACTTGGCTCACCTGTGCGATATATACTTTGATGAAGCATTATGCAGCCTTGGTGAAACGCCCCCTCCTTTTCACTTCCATTCAGCTTGAAAGCAAGAGCTGCGTTGCAAGAACCCAGCAGTCAGTTTTATACCACGTGAAAGGAAAAGAAAAAGAAAAGATCAAAACACACCTTTTCTCACTCATTAGATTTTAACTTATCTCTTTTAAGAGCTTTGATTATCAAAAAGAGCTGAGCATTTTAAATTGATCACCTCAGTGCTAATGGGATATCCATATCACAGACAGCTAATGAATGATACATCTGAATTTCTGAAAATCCCTTCATTTCTTTTTTCAAAGGGAATCACTGGGATCCGGTTTGCTGAACATCAGAGGTGCTACATCAGGACCCAAACTAGGAAACTACCCGCAGTGGCAGAGTCGGAGGCTGAGGACACGGAGTTACTGGTAGGCCTCCTCCCACAGCTGTCTGTACCTCAGACTCTCTGTAGTACAGAGGCTGTCATGCATATTGTAGGGAGATAACCAAGAGCAGAGTGCTGTGAGCACCACACAAATCCTCAGCCTCTCTTATCCTGCCTCTCCCTCCCCTCTCACTGAAAAAATAAACTGGGGTTTGTGGTGCCTGTGAAACTGTCAGAAAGCTGCCCACAACCCATATAGCCTCTTTGTGGTTCACATCAAATGGTGTTTGCTGTCAGTCTTGAGCCAATATTAATTTTTAATCATCTCTTCCAGAGACTTTGCCCAAATAGCCTAAAGGGGGAAGGGTGCAAGAGAGGTCTGAATGAGAGATACACCATTAAAATGATATTTTTAAAAAGATGTTTTCTTTGTAAAATTCACGAGGTTCCCTCTCCAAGTTTAAAAGGGATTCATTCTACTTCTCTGGGTTCTTATAGAGTGAACCTCGGCAAAAAGAATGAGAGAAATTCAATTGAAATTCCCAATTTTTTAGTGTCACAGTGCAATTCACTGAGTGGGCCGTATGTTCAAAGAAAATCCTTCTCTCAAATGTTTCTACTGCTAGCATGCTCTCATTTACATTCACATTGTAGCTGGGAAGTAACTGGCAAATATCTGACACACTTCCTGCTTCAGTTTAAAACAGAATAAGCCAATTATCAGTCCAAGCAAGACCCCAGCCTCAGTCTCAACTTTGAAAACTCAAGCTGCTACACCCAAAAACCAAATGCTGACTTTTTTTCCTCCCTCTTATCTTTATAATGTCTGATCCATGTTTACAGATACTAATTGGACAGTCAGTACCATATGCCCATACAAATTTTTTTTTTAACATTGGGAAGCATAATAGGCTTAACACAACACTCCAAAGACCAGGAAAGTAACTATACCAATAGTTACGGGAGTCCTTATGACTCAAAAGGTGTTTCAAAGCTGCTGTTTATATTAAGTGTCCTAACCGATCAAATTCAGTGACCACGGCTATAAGCTTGTGAGATGACACTTACTGTAGCCACACCTGTCAGACCAAGTAGTGACAACCAGGCAGACAAACATGCAATCATGTCTTCTAAGTTACATTTTTAAGCTACTAATTTGTTATCCAAGTGTGTTTCGGTGAAACCTGTCGACTGGATTTTGTTCACATGTAGAAAGAGATTGCAACATTTTTATACTGCAGTCTAGTCAGTGGGTGGTGTTTAAGGTGGACTCATGAGTACAAATAGGATTTGTATACCAGGTCAACAAAGACACTTGGATAATAATGCTTTGTGGTTGCATTACAGAAGGAGGATATAAGAAGACAAAATGAAATTGGTTGTAATCGAGTATTTTGAATCTATGTTATTTTTTGATAATAAAAAAAAGGGTACTGTTACATTTTAAAATCTCAGAATAATTTGGTGTTTTGGGAAATGTTAATTTGTGCTTTGATTTGCTTTTTGATTATTTGCTTTCCTGCTGCAAGTTTGAAGATAACATTTTCACATCTGTAGGCTAAATATGAATCTATAGCTAGCAGCCAGTTGTTTAACAGAAACTGAAAACAGCTAGTTCATTTTATCAGAATGTTTAAAAAAAATTCCCAGCACCACTTTCATTTGTTTAATCGGGACAAAAACCAGATTGTGAAAGCAACATGTCACAATTGTACTTTGAGGACCCACATGCTGACTGATGAAGAGGCGATTAAATGGTGATTTAATGGACATACAGAACACAGTCAGATGGAAACAGACACGGTAACTAACAATGGTACATAACAGGACCACTAAGGACGGCAGACAGTTAAGAAATATTGGCTAGGCTAACAGTAAAAACACATGCAGGTACGGTGGCCAGCTCAAGTAAATACACAACAACAGCCACCTCTGGTAAATATGGTTACACATCTAATATAAAATAGAGAAAAAACAGCTACAGTGGAAACAAGATAATTCATGGTCACAGGAGCGAAAAATTTCATTTACAAGCAGCCAGACTATGCAAACAGTTCAGACCAGGAGTCCATGCACAATAAAGCAAATTGAAAACTTGAATAGATACTGACAAGAAAATACAAATAAATAAATAAAACATCCAAACAATGGTGAATCCAGCAGTTCATTCAGCATCAGTCCATGGTAGAAAACAGGTATTAAAAAAAAAAAAAAAACTGGCAGGCACAGGGAATCACAAAAAACTAGCTCTTCAGCCATGACAATAAAAGTGAGTGAATGTTGAGAGCTGACTTTTATATAGAGTTGTTGATTATGCTGATAGAAGGCAGGTGATTGTGAGCAGTGTGGGGCAGAGCTCAGCAGAGAAGGTAATAAGAGCAGGAAAAGTAGACCGAAGACTGGGCCTGGGTATTTAAAACCAGGGAAAGCACAGGGCAGAGACAGGACCAGGACTGGGATCATGACAGTTATTTCACAGGAGATTATCTGTCAGACTATTTTGTGTTTTCTTGTTATAACTACATGACACCAGGAAGAGACACTGAGAAATTTGTTGAATTTGTATGACTAACTAATAAATGAAAATGATCTTGAATTTCTATGGTTATAGTGTTCCTGTTCTGGCCTGACCTCACCAAGGTCTGTTGTCACATTAGGTGATCCACCATCAGCAAAAATCCACCCGTATGTGACCCTAGAGAAGATCAGCAGTTCCTCCTCAGGTGTGAAACTCATGAAACTTACAGGGGTTAGCTGAGTACTAAAAGTTCCTAGCTTAACCCAGCCACAGGCTTTAAAGAATGAGGGCTCAGAGCAGCTGCGGCAGGCTTTAGAGCCAAGGTGAAAAACAGTGGAAAAAACAGTGAAAAACTGCAAGCAGCTGATAAGAAATTCAGCTCCTGCAAGGGAGAACCAGGTGACAAACATGAATTGTTTGTCAGGATTTTTCCCTCCCTTTTCAATTTGCCTCCTTTGTGAAACATCTGAGGGAGTAATCCCTGAGCTTCATTCAGGTTCCACCAGTCTGACACAGAAATCGCCATCCACCTCCCTCACACCTCTAAACACTGTCAATAGATGGTACCTGCTCCATTAAACAGCCACTTAATATGGATGACCAAAGCTCGCCCAGCAACCCAACCCAAAACCTCCCACTCAGACAACAACTGCAAACATAAAATCAGTGTGCTGTGCAAAACTACCACAGCAGAGGATGTGAACGCACCGGTATCCTGCACACAGTAGTGTTGGTTTTGTCTCATAGCTGTCTCCACGAGGATATGAGCTCAGTCAGTGGCAGGGGGAGACTTTTCAGCAACAAAAGACCAAAAGTTCACACACCTGGTGACATAAAACAACACGGCAAAAATCAGCTGTATATCTACACAAAATATGATGTATAGTTTCAGAAGGCTTGAAGTGGTGAATACTTGCAAACTACTGTAAACTGGCATGCTATGTGCTACCCAATGTGCTAATGGTATTCAATCACAATATTTGTATTTGGGTCCTTCACTCACTGTGCCATTACAGTGCTTCATTCAATACAGAGTTGCTGAAGTGGAGAAAGAAGCACTTAGCAAGTGCTGCTGCTAATGGAAATGTTTATTTAAAAAATGTATTTGTACAATCGACTCATGTATTATTACTTTTTGAAAATCATTCTTCTTTCAAAAGAGCGGTGTGTACAGTGCAACACAGCTAATAAGCTATGATAGCTTCACCAGAGTTGCACCCAACTTGAAAATTTTACCGTTTTAAATGTTTTTGTGACTTGGATTTTACAGCCCTTAAGCAAGTGATAGCACTCTCGTTTTAAGTGAATACGGGTGTCAACAAAAATTCACCACCTGTTAGACTGCATAATAAAACCCCCTGCCTGTGTTATGTGCAGGATGTGAAAGCTGCTGGGTATCATGAGAAAATGTTTGTTGATCTCTGGCAAACATAGCGCCACTTTAAACCATGTGTCATGTAGATAGTGTTTCCCCCCTTGGGACACAGTAGCAGGAGAGGGTAAATTCATTAACCACAGCACAACTGGTGTATAATTAAGTTGTGCACTGTAGGCGGGAAGCTTACATACACCAGAAGTGGGCCACACAAAACAAATTACCATCATTCCCAAGGTCCAATCCTTGATAAAAAGTTGCTTGTGCCCTAATAATATATCATTTGTCAATAGCAAGATGGAAAAGCCTTTCAAAGGTGTGTATGAACTGGAGCACTGTAATCATGTTGTCTTTGTGCTTGTCAACTGGCATTTAGAAATCCATGCCCCATGCTAAAATGTTGACCTTTACGACTATCCCCCAAGCGCCCTCTCCTACAAGTTATTGGAGCCGTATTTCAACTGTAAAGTCAAAGTCATGCTGCGAGCCCCGTGTCGTGACCTCCATTTACTTTCTGGAGAAGACTCACTTGGCTTCAGTGGCTAAGAGGGCCAATTAGAGAGAGCTGTTTGTGTTCCTCCAGTTTGATTGTAATTTCTGCAACCACAGGAACAGTGAGCACACCAGCTCGAGGCTAGAGCGCCCCCTCCACAGTACCACCACAAAGCTCTGCACCAGTCCTCCGAGTCATCATTAGTCTACTGGCCAGCGCTTAAAAGCAAGGGAGAGTCTGTCAAAAGCTTGGCTAAACACATCCCATGCCCAAACACAATCTTCAATGTGATGGAATGTGCTTAAGTCTTTTTTATCTTCTCTGTAGGTCACAGCTATGTCTCCATATGATAAACACAAAGCATCGTGGAAAGCAAACATCTAATTCATGCACGAGTGACAGAGGTTAAAAGAAGGGAAGGGGCACGACCAAGTATAAATGACTCCTGCTACTACTATAGCCCCAGGATTCTACGTCAAGCTTAACTAATGTGCAATTAAGCTTTAGACTGAGAGAAAATCACCTTGTAAAAACATTTGTCAAGTGAACTGCTTTACTGTTCTGGGTTGCTAATTAACAAGGGAATGGGAAGAGGGGTTTGTTTGTTTGTGTGTGTATTTACATATACATGAAGAAAATAAATATCTGCACTGTTAGGGAAGAGCATTACCAAATCCCCTTCATATGTCTCTATTAGACAACACTGACATGTAGTCCCTATCATTAAGCAATAATAGTTTACTTTACAGCTCATGAACTACAGTATCAACAAATTAAGCCCACTGATAGTGCTGGGTGCCAAGTGAAGCACTATGGTGGAGGGGGAGGGGGAGTCAACGGGGGGAGGAGGGGGATGATGCAAGGCTTTATTGTGTCTGTCACATTAAACGATATTGCAGCCACACTCAGAGTAATGAAGACCTTCCACAGTCATTTCAAAGTCAAATCATCAATGTCTGTGAATTTCAATGATGTATAATAGAAAGAGCACGCCTGAGTCTTAAGAGGAGGGCGAGGGAGAGAAAGAGGAGGGAGTCAGGGCAGTAGATGTCGGGAGTCAGGATGCTGCTGCCCTCTCCGCAGACAGAGAGGTGATATATAAATTGATGAGGCTGGAGCTGCTACATTGCTCAGAGTGTAATGCAGGACTATACTCTGGCTTGCTATATGATATGTGTGTGTGTGTGTGTGGTGTTTTCTAGCAGGTGGATGACACAGAGGCCATGGATATGAAGGTGGAGGACTCCCAAGTGTGGGTTCCTGCCGAGAAGCCCATTGTTAACCCTGCCTTCCTCCTCAACTCCAAGATCTGGGAGATTTGCCAGGAGCTGCCCATCCACTGGATTCATCCGTCCCCCTTGAGCGGTAAGAGCAGGGGGCACCTCCGCCTCTAAATAGAGACTATTAACACCCTCACTGGAGGGCATCCCACAGGCCAGACACAGGTCCATAAACATCACATGATTTCCCAAACCTTATGAGCATCCAGCCAGGGCTACTCTCTGTGACTGGTGGTCGAGAGTGGAAGAAGCATCCAGATGTTTTACTTAAAGTATCAATACCACAGTGTGAAAATAATAGAAAATGGAGTGTTTTCAGTCTGTGGTATTGATCCTTTAAGTAAAACATCTGGATGCTTCTTCCACCACTGACTAACGGTGTGAAAATACTCCATCTTCTATAATGAGGAGCTTTACTTCTGACACTTTAGCTACATTTTGCTGATAATACTCTTCATTATAGAAGGATATTGGATTATTATCACTTAAGCATTAACATATAAAGTGGAAGGGCTAATGCTACATTATTAATTTGCTTTTGAGCCAGTTTTTTCTAAAATAAGTGAAAAAATATTCCAGTCATTAGATTATTTAAACCTTTTTCCAATAGATATCTTGCCATAACTGTTGAGAAATGAGAATTGATATATTTATTGCAATGTTAAAATAATGTGTCAGTGTGAATGGGATGATAATGAACCAACAAAAAATTATCACCTAAACCTGCAGCGCCGCACGGCTTTATGTAGCTTGACACGAATGTGTAAATAAGCAGCTTTTTGCTAACAAGTTTGACATATCATCTTAAAAGATGATGATATGTCTATGTTACGTTCACAGGTTGTTTCCGCTGCCCCCCAGGAAGCTGCAAAATCAATTATTGCAGGATCAAAAGAAGAGAGCAGGGTTGTTGTTTTTTTTGCTTTAGAGCCAAGAAAACTGCCACATTGTTCTAGAAAAAGTAGTAGAGGTTTACTGTATCTCAGGTTTATCTCAGTCTTAAATAAAGTATCTAAAAATGTACATAAACTTTATATTTACTTCAGTAAATGTGTTTAATTATATTCATTCACTGCTGAAGGTCATTGTAGAGATTTGTTCTTAGGGATTCTTCACATAAGGATATATGGGCTTTGTTAACTAGGATCTGTGGAAAACGGTGTGTGTATCAGAACAGCTGCATTGTTTGACTGAAGCATGGACAAGCTTAGACTGAATTCCAGCATATTTCTCCCGAATGTTAGTAATTAGCATCAAGCCACTGGAAAAAAATTTATACAAGCCAAAATTTTATCAAAGAGCTTTCTCATTTTACTTCAAACAACAAAAGAGCGTTCACAAGGGGAAAGATCTCCTCTGTTTCCCACATTTTCTGTGTGTTCAGATGTCGAGATGGAAAATGTGGACACACCTGATGCAGAGGTCACAGGTCAGCGTTTCACCCGTGATGTCCTGGACCACCTTCCCGTGAACGACTATGTAAGTAGGCTCCTCTGTGCCACGTTATCTAGGGAACACATCACGAGCTACAGTACAGTCACTTAAATCAGCTCCCGCTCTGCCTCGACTCTTTCTGCATATAAATCGTTCACTAATTGATGTTAAAACTGACTTTGTGCACCAGAGGGCAGAGCAATTGCTTTATATATCTGTTTAAGTAAGGCCAGTTCATTGAAGACTCTTTAAATGTCTCTCCATTAATTGAGAAGAATATGCAGCCTTTCAAAGGCAGCAACTTGTGCCTTACAGCATCCGTTAGTGCCTTTTTTCACTTCCTTTTCTTGAGGCGGTGGAAATCACTGCATAAGAAACACACCCAAGGTCAGTTATTGCTGTACAGATAAGTTACATTTATTAATAATACTTTAATTATCAAAGTATATAAAATGAATGGAAAGGCCAAGTGGCATATTTTGGTGCAGCTCATATAAACCACTCAATACTGGATGATTAATTATCCCCGACTCTGAGGGAAAATCACATAAAGCAGTATATTACACATAAATTATGCACTCACACAGACACAAAAAAGCAGCACACTAATGATACCAGGAACATACACAGGTGCAGAGATTTCCAACACACAAACAGACACACATTCAGCACTTACACATGAATTGCTACTAGAGCAAAATTCAAGGATAATGAGACAAGCTCAGTCTGCTCCTCAGAGCTGTGAGAAACGGTGAGAGACGTGCAGAGAAATGAGACGTCCTATAATGCTGACATTTATCAAGTTCGTCCCAGAAACACCTCCCGCTCAACTCCCCAATTTCCCCCCAGCTCCTCTGTCTTCTCCCTCATGGTCTGCAGCAGGAGATGCCGCACTAAGCAATTAAAACATACCAGGGGATGAAAAACTCGACTTTTCTTTTGAAACGTCTGCCTCTATCAGCTGAGTAATGCATACCACTGCAATCCATTCCAGCAGCACATCCAGGCTCTGTTTGTGGGTGCAACGATAACACAGGTCTTTGTGGACAAGCAGAGGGCAGCCAGCAGACTGTAATTGGGAGTCTGAACTCTCACTCATGCCAGTGGGAAGCCACACACGTTAGCCAGACTTTACTCATGTGAATGTATACACAGACAGAAAGCAACGCGCACAGTCAGCTGCTCACACGGTTTCTTATTCACACACAATTATGCACATAAAAACTTGCATTTTAAATTTAACTGAGGTTCTTAAGCTTGAATTTCAGTGCTGTGTCTCCCACCAGCACATGTTTGGAAAGGAGAACAGTCGTTTGAATCCTCGTGCCAAAGGCTGACGGATATATGAAACTGATCTTTGCCATGGTTTCCATGTCAGACTGCAGTGTGTATCAGAGGTGGCCCTGGAAATCTAAAATTGAATATCTACCATGTGAGAAGGCTGAAGGGATGGTGTCACTGTCCTTGAACCATACAGCATGAATCGACCTCACACACATACATGAATGTGTAAAAACATTTGTCATGTGCCAGCATCTAAATATTTGTATTGTGTGAGAAACATGTTGCAAATCTCGGGAAGACATTTCCAGGGTCAGAATAACAGAGGTGCAAAAAAGCAGAAGGGATTCAGATCCATGAACACAGGAGTGGTTTGTGCCTCAAGAGGAATCTTTACACCGAAGCTAAAGCTCCTTATCACCTTGGTAAACCAGCAGAGTTTAGTGAAATACATGATTATCTCCTTTTTCAATTACAGTATCCACACAAATTTCATTTCATTGTCATTCCACTGTAGAGCACAGTAAGATGAAAATCTGATTCAGGACATGCAGCAATTTTGTACCATCCTGTGTGTGTGCATGAAAAAAATAAACCTTTTCAAATACAAAGCAGGGTACAAAACAGAAATGTTATCATTGCTGTTTTGCTATGAGATTTAATAACACATCCAGGAATGTGCT